CCCACCCCCCATCACCCTCCACATCACCCTCCACATCTCCATCCCCATCACCCTCCACATCTCCATCCACATCTCCATCCCCATCACCATCCACATCACCCTCCACATCTCCATCCCCATCACCCTCCACATCTCCATCCCCATTACTATCCACATCTCCATCCCCATCACCCTCCACATCTCCATCCCCATTACTATCCACATCTCCATCTCCATCACCATCCACATCTCCATCCCCATCTACATCTCCATCCCTATCACCCTCCACATCTCCATCCTCACCTCTATTCACATCTCCATCCCCATCACCATCCATATCACCATCCACATCTCCATCCACATGGAGCACCACCTCCCCACTGCCCTGAATACCACAACCATTCAAAGGAAAACTTTGTTAACTTCAGGATTGACAAGTTTTACTTAACAACACCCAATCTGCTAGGTAGCTAAAGAACTCATTGGGTTGATAATTAGACTCTGTTTTTTAAGGAATAAACCATAGGCACCTAAAAGCACATTTATTTTCACCTTCTCTTCTGGCAGCACTCCTGACTTTTGTGTTTATTTTTTAAAGCAAACACATTAATCCAGAGAAGTATGTTAATTTGGAAGAAGAGTGTCTGATTTCTTGGTAAGTGACTCCAGATACAAAAGCAACTTAAAACTCAAATTACCTTCTTTGTTCCATGATGCCCCAGGGTGACAGCCTAATGTATAAAGGTAGCTTTATTCATCCCTGTGCTTACTTTCAAATTGACATTAAAGGAAATATATTATTTCCAATCAGCAGCTATCTATGTGGCAATGAAAAAATTGCTGGAAGGTTGATAATAGCCTACTCTGTCTATTTGTAGCATTCTCTGATTTATAAAGCACATTCTTATACAATATTTCCAAAGGAAGGCAGATTGTGAATGTACTAAATGCTACTGAATTGTACGCTTTAAAGTGGTGAATTTCATCACAATTTTTAAAAAAAGGAAGGCATAGTAAAAACTATTATTCATATTCTACAGAGGAGGAAATTTCTGCACAAAACCATCAAGTAGCTGGCCCAAGGCCACACAAATATTAAGTAGTGAGCTGGGTCCCCCAACCCAGGTCTTCTGAATCTAAAGCCAGAGTTCTTTCCGCCACCATTCACTAACTTCAACCCTCTCCACATTCCCCCCATGCGCCCTCCTGTCCTACCATTAGTGAATGACTTTACCCAGGCTAGCTTCTCCATCAAGCTTTGGTCAACAATTTGAATGTAGATACCTACCCATCATTCCAAGAACACATTTTAGTTTTTATTTTTTTTAAGACAGAGTCTCACTATGTCACCCTTGATAGAGTGCTATGGCGTCATAACTCACAGCAACCTCAAACTCAGGCTTAAGTGATTTTCTTGCCTCAGCCTGCCAAGGAGTTGGGACTATAGGTGCTTGCCACAAAGCCCAGTTATTTTTTTGTTGCAGTTATGTTGTTGTTGCTTAGCAGGCCCAGGCTGGGTTTGAACCTGCCAACCCCAGTGTATGTGGCCAGCCCCCTAACCACTGAGCTGCAGGCGCCGAGCCAAGAACACATTTTAAATAGTTAGCATCTATGCAATCATTATCACATTTGTTTCATCCCTAAGCCAAGACAGAAAGAGAAAAGTGCTTCACAAAGAAAATAAGAGAAAAGGTCCTGGGCTCCTTGTGTCTGGATCACCAAGAGGAAGTTTCCTGGCAGGAGGTGGGGTGGTTGCTCACCGTGTATCTGGCCTTCCAGACAGGCACCTGGCAAGGGAGAATATTGAGGTATTTCCGAGGCTGGCGGTAATCCCAGAACTAGAAGAAAGGAAGATCATTTGTGAAATAAATGCCATTCAAAAAACTCAACTATTGAGATAAGCACACAGCCTTCAAATTCATTGCTTTTTGTCCTCTAAAGATACATTTCAATGGTGTTTTTTTAGTTCAGCCTCCATAATCACACTGTGACAGAGACATAAAGAAACCTTCCTTTCCATTTATAAACATCACAGGGGAATTTCTGAACATTATGAAGACCACCAATTGGGGCAGGTCACTGTCAAAAAGGCCTGCCTATGAAACCACCTTCGCAGCTGCAAGGTTAAAGTGATAGTTTTAATCCTGTATCACTTTTACACTATATGGACAATTTAACTAATAACACTGGCTAAAATGTCTTGCCTACTTACTGCATTTCAAACATATATTTAGAGCTTTCGGGTTTTTGTTCCGTTTAACCACATAAAGGAGGTTGTTAATCTCTTTTTCAAACGTAGAGGGGAAATTACTAAACATTCTAACCTGCCCAAGGTCACAAGGAAAATGGCAGCTGTGTGAGAATCTGGACACCAGTCCATTCGAGTACATACTCATTTGGCCACTCCAGCACATGAAGTGTGGTAAGTGTGGTACTTGAAGTTGCGGAGTACACAAAGGTAGTTTGAGTTTTGTGAACCAGATAAAAACTCTACTGTAGAGATACCTCTGCCTCTAAGGTAAAAGACAAACACACTTAGAGCTCTAGCACTTGTTACAAAAGAGGAAAGGGCAGCACGCTAAAGGCAGGAAAAACAAGATCGAAACTCTGATGACAGGGCCAGGTGCAGTGGTACACGCCTATAGTTCCAACTACTCGGGAGGCTGAGGTGGGTGGATCACTTGAGCCCAGGAGTTCAAGGTTTCAGAATGCAATGATCCTTCCTGGGAATCACTGCACACTAGCTTGGACAACATGACACTGTCTCTAAAAATAATAATAAAAAATGACATAAAAATAGATGACAGGAACCACTCTGGTAATCAATTTGTCAATTTCTTAAAAAGTTAAAAGTACACATGCAATATGACCCAATATTCCACTTCAACATATTTGCTCTAGAAAATAGAAAACTTTTGTTCACACAAAACCCTCTATGTGAATGTTTACAGCAGTCTATTCACAATCCCCCAAATAGAAAATAGCCCAAATGTCCTCCAATGGGTCAACAGAAAAGAAAATGTGGCCTATCCATGTAAGAGAATACTAGTCAGTAATAAAAAGTCTATTTACTTTTGATTCTTAAAACATCTTTGATAAATCTCAAAGGCATTATGCTGACTGGAAGACGCTAACTTCAAAAGGTTACTAGTAACATGATTCCATTTAAACGGTATTCTCCCCAAAACAGACCTATAGCAATAGAGACTAGATCAGGGGTTGATAAGAGTTAGGAGTGGAGGGTGGCTCCTGTGGCTCAGTAAGTAGGACGATGGTTCCATATACTGAGGGTGGTATGTTCGAACATGGCCCGGGCCAAATTGCAACAACAACAAAAAAATAGCTGGGCGTTGTGGTGGGCACCTGTAATCCCAGCTACTACTCGGGAGGCTGAAGCAAGAGAATCCTCTAAGCCCAAGAGCTGGAAGTTACTATGAACTGTGACGCCACAGCACTCTACTGAGGGGGACAAACTGAGACTCTGTCTCTAAAAAAAAAGAAGAGTTAGGAGTGGAAAGGAGTGTAACACGAGGTAGTTATTGAGGGTTATGGAACTGTTCTATACCCTGACTGTAGTGGCAGTTATGTGAAACTCTACAATTGTTAAATTTCACAGATTTTTTTAAGTCTATAATTTTTTAAAAAAGGTAAGCACCTACAGTGCATCTTACAAGGGTACATGTGAAATTTACTAGGTGCAGAATATAACTATCTTAACACAATAACTAAGAAAATGCTGTTTTCTTAGGCTGTGTTGACCAGTTTGATGAAACATTTCAAACTGTATATAAAACCAGCACATTGTACCTCATGATTGCATTAATGTACACAGCTATGATTTAATAAAAAATAAAAAGACAAGAGAAAAAGACATACTATGCTACAAAGGGATACAGATGATAGGGGACAACTATCACTCTCTATCCTTTATTTCTATTGCCTCTGGCCTACCTGCCTGCTTTAGAGCAGGAAAAGAGATTTCCCATAGGTTTTGCTTGGTTTATGCAATAATTTTGTGAATAAGCTTGACTGGAAATGGAAATGGCTTGTCTAGAGTTTCATTATCTTCTTAAAAAATCTAAAGAGTTCCAAGTGGAAAACTTTCTTCATCTCTCAAAAGAGAATTGGGATATCCAAAAGAAACAAACAAATGATCCAAGTTGAGATGTGACAGGAGTATCTCATGTGTCAACAAGGTAATAAATCTTAACAGTTTTTTTTTATTATTAACCTACCATATGAACGAATACTACAGAACATAGCACATAATGAATGGTATACATCGAGCTATAAATCCTTGAGTTCCCCAGCTCAGGGAGATAAAGAGTTAAGTTTCTTTCACTGTCGTAGCGCCACAAGGGTGTGCTCAATAATTTCTAACACAGTGTGCTTTTCCCTACTTCTAAAAAAAAGAGAATTAATCAATTCGATTAGATGATTTGTTAAATTTAATGTCATTCCTATTTTGATTCATTATTAGAACTAATAACCGGGTTAAACTTAAGAATTTCTAGAAAAAAAGTTCAAACTTTTTTTTTTTTTTGCAGTTTGTGGCCGGGGCTGGGTTTGAACCCACCACCTCCGGCAAGTGGGGCCGATGCCTTACTCCTTTGAACCACAGGCGCCGCCCAAAAAGGTCAAACTTTTAATGCTTTAGATATGCTGCTTTTTTTTTTTTTTTTTTTTTTTTTTTTTTTGAGACAGACCCTCAAGCTATCCCCTGGGTAGAGTGCCATGGCATCACGCTCACAGCAACCTCCAACTCCTGGGTTCAAGCGAGTCTCCTGCCTCAGCCTCCCAAGTAGCTGGGACCACAGGCACCCGCCACAGCGCCTGGCCATTTCTTGGTTGCAGTCATCACCGTTGTTTGGCGGGCCCGGGCTGGGGACTTGAACCCGCCACCCTAGGTGTATGTGGCTAGCGCCTCAGCCACCTGAGCCACAGGCGCCGAGCCTAGATATGCTGCTTTTTTAAAAAGTCTCAAATGTTTAGTGAAGCTATATAGCTAAGGAGAAAAATAATTAGCAGTGAGTTGAATTAATGGCCATAGATGTTTGAACACAAAATAAAAAACTTGACAACAGAGGAAAAAAGCAAAAAGCAAAAATAATTTCAATACTTAAAAACAAACTTTATAAAGTTTTTTTTTAAAAATCAGTATATAAATTTAGAAAAAAGTGCAGGGAATGTTCTTTTCTTTTTTTTTGAGACAGAGCCTCAAGCTGTCCCCCTGGGTAGAGTGCCGTAGCATCACAGCTCACAGCAACCTCCAACTCCTGGGCTCAAGCGATTCTCCTGCCTCAGCCTCCCAAGTAGCTGGGACTACAGGCACCCACCACATCTGGCTATTTTGTTGGTTGCAGCTGTCATTGTTGTTTGGTGGGCTCTGGGCTGGATTCGAACCTGCCAGCTCAAGTGTATGTGGCTGGCACCTCAGCCCCTTGAGCTACAGGCGCTGAGCCCAGGGAATATTCTTAATGAAGATGAATCCCTGGACAAATGAGACGTATAGTTTGATAATTGGGTTTATAAATAGCCATGTGTCTTTCCCTGACTTTTTCACAGTGTAAATATTGATATGAATATACTATTCTAACTTAAATAAGGCTTGGATTTATTTCCTCATGGAAAGCTTAATTAATTTAAACTTCCTGAATTGCATAAACTGCTTTTATGAGTTATCAACATTTCAACAAAATGTTTAAAATTATACAAATGTAAAAAAATACATTAAACTGAATGAAATTAACTGATGCTGCTTTTATAAAAAGTGGTGTTGCTTAATTGAACAGAAAAGGTCTTTGAAGTAAAAAAGAAAAAAAACTTTTTATAATACCAAAAATCATAACATAATACTAAAAACTCCACTCCAGTAATCAGGTAAATGTGTTTAATATCTTTCTAGAAAACTCTAGACATTAACTTTTGTTTCTCTCTGTTATACTATCAACTTAAATTGTAATTTGAAAATACTTAACTATAAGACCTTGGACTAAAATTAATTAGAATAACTTTTATACTTGATCTTAGCCAAAAGGCCGAGAAGTGATTAGAGTAACTTTTAAATATGTGAATAACTTCCAAGTAAAATTAAGAAAAGTTTCTAAAAATTGGGTTATAAAACATAATTTTTATACATACACATCTTTAACCTTATTTTAATACTTTATTGATTGCCCAACTGTTAATACATTGAAAGAATTTACAAATACCTTTTGATCACTTTAGTATACGTCTGCTCTTTTAAGAATACCAAATATTATCTATGATTATCTAAGGATATGTATGCAAGGTAACATGCTTCTTGCTTTTCAAGGAGAGAGTCATTTTGTCCTATACATGTCAACAAAGTCAGCTGAAGGTTATAGATTTTCTTGTAAATGGAAAAGACTTGCAGAAACGCCTTTTCTGCAAAGCATTACCTGGATGGCAAACAAAAGGTCTAAAACTGAAATGTAGTTTTCTTTCTGTTCAAACAACTGATTTGGGGGTATACAGATTGTTCACAACAGTAAAATAGTAAAAATGTGTAAAAACTTAGTCTACACCTAGAGAGCAGGGATTTTTATATCAGCAAAATACTGTTACTTTTTGTTTTTCATGATGCTCGTGAATCTTTTCTTAAACAAGTCTTTTAAAAAAAAAAAACATTCCTAATAATTTGTTACTTACTGCTATATTTAATCCCACTGCATATCAAGGCCATAATCATGTCTTTCCTTTACAACCTTATGATTTATGCTGAAAACTCATTTCTTCTGACAAATCTTCTTTGGCTAAATTCAGGCTCTATGTTCAAAATCCTAAAATTGTCAAGATGTCTTTTCCACAGAGACTATTATTTTGGGTTTCCCAGATGGCCGCAGGGCAAACTATAATCCTGCCCCCCTCCCCCCAATTTATAAAAGGAAGGATACTCAAAATAATCAGGTCTCCTTGGCATTCTCCAGATTTTCAATTGGTTCAACACCTTATGAATGCTGCTTGTTATCAAGCCCAAAATACGTGAAACATTAGCAAATAAAAGAGTTCAATTTACCTACCTCGATTATATACAAAGTAAAATGTTAATACGTGAATGCATTTCAGCAACTGTTTACCTTTCAGTTTGGCTAGAAGCATATTGGTGTCCATGTGCAAACACTGGCAAGATAACTGTTAACAAAAATAATCCTCTTAAGAAAAGAAAAGATCCCTGAGAATTTGAGAGGTTATTTTAAATTAAAAAAAAAAGAAAGAAAGATTTTGTTTCTAGATAGAAATACATTCACCAATTGGTAACAATGGCAGCATATGATTTATGGGATAAATTAGAGGATCTTGGAGATTTGACAAAGTAAGAATAACATGTTCTTATTCTCTAAGGCAGTCTTATGAAATGATTGTGTGTACGTGCAGCTAGGACTTCTTTCTGTTTCAATCCGATATAGAGGTTATTATAAATTAACCAAAGCCATTCCATCCTTCCATTCATAGGCGATTTTTGCTTTGTCCTTAGCCTTGACAGTGAGCTCCTGCTTATAAGCTATAAATCAGAAAGTAAGTCTTCTGAAGAAACAGCAGAAGAGCCTCAGTCAAAAAAGAACCAGGTTGGCCAGGCAAGGTGGGTCAAGCCTGTAATCCTAATATTCTGGGAGGCCGAAGTGGGCAGATGGCTTGAGCTCAGCAGTTTCAGGCCAGCCTAAGCCAAGAGTAAGACCCCATCTCTACTAAAAATAGAAAAAACTAGCCAGGTATCATGGTGGGGGGGGGCACCTGTTGTCTCAGCTACTCAGGAGGATGAAATAGGAAGAGCTCTTGAGCCCACGAGTTTGAGTTGCTGTGAGCTATGATGACACCATGGCATTCTACCTAGGGCAACAGAGTGAGACACTGTCTAAAAAAAATAAAAGAAAGAAAGAATGAGCCAGGCCCTCTTGACTGTTGACACCACAGGAGACAGGCTCTTAGGTACATGCTTCTCAGGGAGGCTGACCCTTTCTCATGGGCAGCTACACGCCTGCTGGAATGGACCAAAGGACTGTGGCAGCATTTGTAGGATTCCATTAGTCTAAAAGGCAGCAATTTTGTGAAATAGACTGTTTAACCCAAGATCAGGAAAAAAAGTATTAACTATCTAAAATGATAAGAATGCATTTCATTGTGGTTAATATTCTATTTTTAAGAGCCATATGAGAAAAACCCCTTTCTTTTTTATTACCTATCTCTAAACCACAACTGTTTCACAGTTAAACAATTTACAAACTGAAACGAAACACTCATCCAGTGTTACTTTAGTCCAGCTGACCCCTTAGAATTCAAAAAATGAAAATATAATGAAAACTATTATTACACATGACAAGCTAATAATAAATTGTCAGGTCATCATAATAATGATGATCGTGTGGGGGAAAAAAACACATGTTGGTCCTTATCTATAAATTAACTAAAAATAATAGTCGATTGTTATACAAAGTGCCTTTACTAAATTCCTTTTTTTTTTTTTTTAAAGACAGAGTCTCACCGTGGCATCACAGCTCACAGCAACCTCAAACTCTTGGGCTTAAGTGATTCTCCTGCCTCAGCCTCCTGAGTAGCTGGGCCTACAGGCACCCACCACAATGCCTGGTTATTTTTTGGTTGCAGTTGTCATTGTTGTCTAGCAGGCCCAAGCTGGGCTCAAACCCACCAGCCTCAGTGTATGTGGCCAGCACCCTACTCACTGAGCTACAGGTGCTGAGCCTATATTGCTTTATTTTTTATGATTGTGTTATTTACCTACATTCAATAAAAATTATTTTCTTTCAGATCGGTGCCTGTAGGTCAGTGGCTAGTGCCACATACACCAGAGGTGGCAGGTTCAAACCCAGCCCGGGCCTGCCAAACAACGACAACTACAACCAAAAAATAGCCAGGCCTTGTGACGGGTACCGGTAGTCCCAGCTACTTGGGAGGTGGAAGCAAGAGAATCACTTAAGCCCAAGAGTTTGAGGTTGCTGTGAGTTGTGACACCACAGCACTCTACTGAGGATAACATAATGAGACTCTGTCTCAAAAAAAAAAAAATTATTTTCTTTCCTTCCAAGGTATAGTTAGAATAAACCAATGCAAAATATCTCATTTCATTCACAAGCTAAGCCTGCTAGTAAGGAATAAAAACTGCTTTATATGCAGAAATGATGCCTAGAAAGTCCTCCCAGGAAAGTGGCTGTTACCTGCTTTACTGCCTATGAAATCCTAGCTTAAGGTGGGAAAGATGTCACTGCATATCAGCAAAGCTTGGGGATCTTGGGCAGCGCCTGTGGCTCAAGGAGTAGGGTGCCAGCCCCATATACCAGTGGTGGTGGGTTCAAGCCCAGCCCTGGCCAAAATTGAAAAAAAAAAAAAAAACAACCCTAGATAATTTCTGGTTCCTGAACTTGAGAGAAAAGCTGATTGAGGTGTGGTGACAAAAACACAAATGCAACATGAACAAACCTACAAAAAAGCCAACTCTGGTGCATAAGAATAAATTACAACCCCCAGGGATTTACAAACCTCAAGATAGAAGTTAACTTTTAAGCCTGAGTGTATGACTCTAGTTTTGCTAATTACACCAAAAAAAAAGTCATACATGCCTAAGCAAACATAAAAAAGGATTAAGTAGATACTACTAAATCCCCAAATTGCAAAACCAACTTCTGTGGTCAAATCCGTATCCTTAGGGACAGAGTCTTAACCACAAGGAGGAACTACTTGACCAAAGATGACTCTGCCCTGCCATTATTCTGCTCAAGGATACACATCCCATACCATAATCAGAGAGTAAAGATAAACAAGAAATGCTGTACAGCCAGGCGTAATGGCTTGTGCCTGTAATCCTAGCACTGTGAGGTCCATGCACAAGGATGCACTTGAGCCCAAGAGATGGAGACCAGCCTGGGCAACACAGCACAACCTCATCTCTACAAAAAGTTTAAAAATTAGCCAGGCACAGAGGCATGTGCCTGTAGTCCCACCTGTTAGGAAACCCGAGGCTGAAGGATTGGTTGAGCCCAAGAGTTTAGGGTTGCAATGAACTCCAGCCTGGGCAACAGAGGGAGACCTTGCCTCTCAAAAAAAAAAAAAAAAAAAGAAAGAAAGAAAGAAAGAAAAACAAAACCAAGTGTTCGGCGCCTGTGGCTCAAGCAGCTAAGGTGCCAGCCACATACACCTGAGCTGGCGGATTCAAATCTAGCCCGGGCCCACCAAACAATAATGACAGCTGCAACCAAAAAATAGCCGGGTGTTGTGGCAGGCGCCTGTAGTCCCAGCTACTTGGGAGGCAGAGGCAGGAGAATCGCTTGAGCCAGGAGTTAGAGGTTGCTGTGAGCTGTCATGCTACAGTACTTTATCCAGGGTGATAGCTTGAGGTTCCATCTCAAAAAAAAAAAAAAAAGCCCCAAAATGCTGTACTCTGAGATAAACCAAAAACATTAGAGTCACTAAAACACATAAAGCCTTGTACATTTCCTGTAAATTAGAGAATCCCTCCAAAAACAACTCCTTCCTTGACTCTTACAATACTGATATCTATCTGAAAGTGCCATAGCTTTTGAGACATAATAATGAGGTGAGGAAACTATTTTTCCACCATGAACAGACTAATTATGAACATGGCAGGTAACCTTACTAATACTGTGGGGAATAATGGTTTCCCCCACTTTCTCCAAACATCTCCTTTACTCGTATCTTTGTTGTGTATGACTGACTTCCTCGCAACTTCTCTGCAAGTAAACTTCCTTTCTAAATGCGTTTTTGTCTCTGACTTCCTTTCTGAACAAATTCTAAGAGGCCTATCGATTGGATAGATGCTATGACATCATTCTGCTATCATAACATAGCCAGGTTTCCTTGCTCAGCTCTCCAAGAAGCATCCGTACCCATGAAACACAAATACTATGTTAACGTGCTATAGCTTTCCTTCCAAAGTGCATCCCTGACACATCCCAAACACAGCTCCTCCTCCCACGGACACCACTCACCTTGACAGAGTTGTCTTGACTGGAGGTAGCAAGAATGTGCTCACTGTCTGGGTGCCAGTCCAGGCCATGGATTTTGGAGAGGTGGGCTGCTAAGTACTCCACTGCTGTACTGGGTTTCTGCAAAAGATTAGCACTGAGTGTTAACCAATATAGAAAGAACTCATTGTCTACCACGGAACAGTCTGCTGGCTGCTGAGTGGGGATACAAAAATACTACCAGAGTCTGTCTTTACCCTTCTAAAATGCCACCTTGCTTTGTTTAAGCCAAACAAAATAATACCAAAAGACTTATCCAGCTTTTCCTATGCTCTGTACATGGGCCTGTGAGCCTAACTGCTTCTTGCTCCTGCCTGCTGCACAATTCCTATGGAGGATACAAGGAGGGAGTATTTTCACCCTTAAATAGTGCAACGTGACAATTTCCACACCCTTTCCTCACAATCACCCAAGAAGAGAGGTCAAGACATCTCAAGAGACCCAACCACAATCAAGAGCATAAAAGCATCAATCTTCACAGGATAGAACACTAAGATCCCAAAGAAGAATGGACACACATTACAAAAGAAAACAACACAAAATCAATATGCATATGAACAGGAACAAACTCAGAAGGAAACCTCAGAAATATACAATAAAAAAGATTTTTTAAGCTACCAAATTGGAATATATTTGTTAATAATACTCAATGCTATTGAGGTTGGTTTTATCACTGCTGGTGTAAAACTTTTATACAACTTTTCTGGGGAAAAAAATGGCATTATAGACACATTATAGAAAAAATGGCATTATTCCCTTTCTTAAGGGAATAATCCACAAGAAGCTTTAGATACAAAAAATGTTCATCTCGGTATTATTTGAAACACTAGAAAATCAGAAGCAACCTAAGTAATTAATAAGTGAGGAACAATAAAACTTAATCAATTATACTACAACTATGCGATATAATAGGATATAATCACAAAAAGTTACATTTAGAAAGAGCGTATAACATGGTGATGATGTATTTGTTATAATATCAAATGACCAAAAAAACCCCACATAACTATGTGCATAATATAACAAATCAAGTTTTAAAAAAGATGTAGGGAAAGAAAACAACAAAATGTTGGCATTTGTCTCTAGGTAGTAGAATCACGAATGATTTTTATTTATTCACTTGTATTTTCTATAAAGAGCACGTACTACTTCTATAGTTAGCATTGGTCTGAGATTAGGAGTACAGTCTCCAGAACCAGCCTCCCTGAGTTCAAATCCTGGTAGCAAATTGTGACTCAGTTTATTTATCTATAGAACAGGGATAATAAGGGTACCTACTTTACAGGCTGGTTATAAAGAAATTAACATTAGCTTTAGGCTCAGCGCCTATGGCTCAAGCTGCTAAGGCGCCAGCCACATATACCTAAGGTGGCGGGTTTGAATCCAGCCCGGGCC